GGGGGGGAGGGAAGGTAAGCATAAGGAGTACAATTGTACCTGCGAGAAAACAAAATGGGCATATCAGGCATACGTTCTGTAGAAAACACACACACACACACACAAAAGTAGGAAGAAAAAACTTTCACCATATAAAGATTATTTAGGTGCAAGGATAACCTCTCCTAGAACTTCAATCAGGTCATGATCTTTTGTCAAACTTCCTATCACCCACCTTCTTTTCTTCTGCTTCTCTTCTCTTTTGTTGTCTGCACAGATAAACTTCTTAAGGACAGCATTCCAGAAATCAGTATAAGATCTTACGTTGTAAGAATCAATTAGAGAAAACCTTAATAATTCAGGGGAAAAAACAGATGCAATAATATGAAACAACAAGGATTATCTACTTTTTTTTCCAAAATGAAGGTCCTGAAACAACAGGCAAACGTTCTACTTCAGAATTAACTAAGATGACTCCACCAGGTTACTTCTATTACTCCCTGAAACCTTCTCTATTAAGTACTCACAGAAAAACCCAGCATCGGCAAAAGAAGTCAGAATTAGGAAGAAAAGCTAACGACAAAAATGTGAGGACATCACACCAAAAGATTAAGCATGAATTTAACAGCCAAATTGGTTTTTAAGATCAATTCAAGACCAAAAAATACTACCCCATTACATTTTCATTTGCACAACAGGTTGAATGAGATGTCCACAAAGTGAAGGTGTAGAGTCAAAATATTAGATTGATCTCAATGTATCCAAATGAAAATGAAATATCATATTAACCATATGCATTTTTCATTTGCCTGTGTAGAAAATGAACAAAATGATGAAGAATAATAAACACATTTTTTTCTGCACATGCTAATATAGAACAGAATACTCTGTCAGTATCCTCCTTCCAAAGTCATAGATTATCACTAAATAATTTCAGGACAACTGGTTGCTATTTTAAACCTTACAACTACAAACAAATCTTATTAATTTCAAGAAATACACTAATTAATTTGTAGCAGATATTTGACTAAACTCTTTGTTTTAGGCTTGATAGAAGACTCGAAAAGTTATATGTCCAACATGATTGTTATCGAATCACGTGATGTACAAGGGGTTCATCCCCTGCAGATAACACCCCATAATGTTGCAGATAACTCAACAAAGACTAGTGCATCCAGCAAAAAGACAATCGTTAATGTACCAAACCTTGTAGGAAAGTGATCAAAGAAACTGATTAATAAATGTTTCACTCTACATTCTGAACACCTAATATTATTATGAAATAAAAACACATAATACATATACATAATTTTGTAAATACATACATAACATAGGCATATTTATTTATAATATATTGTAAAAAGAGTGGAGGAAGAATAAAAAGCATATTGGCATCAAAAGCTTACGCAAAAGCTGTATATCCAGCACCAGCATTGGCAGCAGACAGTAGTGCTGCATGTACACTCGTTGTTGATGGATTGTCATGTCCTCCAGAGAGTGTTGAGCTCTTTATATCACCATCTACCTGCAGGAAAGAAAAACATAGATGAAATAGTTAACATTCCTGAATCCATTAAAGTTTTAATGGCATCACAAGTGTTAAAAAACAAAACCTTATCCCATTTTGTTTTCTTGTTCTGTCTACCGTCTCTTGTTGTCGCATCTACAGTTGTTGGAACCGGTGGTAATACAGCTAAAGCAGCAACTGCAACTGAAGCTAACAAAAAAAAAAGAATTTGCAAAAAAGAGTTTCACAAATTATTACAGCCAATTTGCATATAAGCACTCACCAATCATATTAAAGCAAACACAAAACAGAAATCACCGAAAAAAGTCATTTTCCACTCTTTTGGGTGGAGCCTTTGATTGGTACCTGAATTTTGTGTGTTAATGTTCAATGATGGAACAACAGTGGCAGTTTGTGTGCCACCTGCAACAAAATCGACTTTCTGACTCTTTTTCCTTTCCTGCTCCTTCCTTTCCATTTCACGCCTCATCTCATTCTCTGTAACAGAAGACCACGTTAGGAACAATGTACAAGGAGTGCCTGCAAAACTGTTACATTATTTAACATGAATTAATAGACAAAACAAAAAGGCGATTGTGATGCAACAGAGATGAACAGCATAAAATGACATAACAAAAAGTATGATAAAGAAACTCGTTTACCATGCAAGCATATTATGTCCTTGAAAAAAAACACTTGGGAAAAAACGATACAGTATTTAGCCCAAAAGAATGATCAATGACACTTTGGGAGCATCTTAGAAACTATGAGAACACCACCAGTATTAGCAGCATACAGAATATATAAGTAAAAGCAATTTGTAAACAGTATCAACCTATTATTCTTGGGTTTCAGTTTACAGTTTCCCTGATGCTCTTAACTTTGCATCCACACCTGTTGCCTTTTAGAATCACAATGGTTTGTGCACCCAAACAACATAACAATGACCACCGAAGTTTTGATATGCAAACCATCTATGTTCTATATATAAATATATGCATATAATGTAATGGAAAAACTGAAATACTGATGCAAATAACCTCTTTTAAATAATTTTATAGCTTTATTTTTCTTAAATTGCTTCAATTTTCTGAAGTAGAAAACTTCCATTAACATATGTAATTATGAACAAACCTTCCGCTTTCGATTACCTCCATATAAAGAATAAATATAATGTTAAAATGGCAAACAATCAAGTAACGAGTTTAAAGACTACTGCTTTAGCCTGAATATAAATAGTGCTCAAATGTCATACTGTCACGGACAAAACTGTAAACATGGTGTTTAATGCAATGCTCATGTATGACCGTGTCTTTTGGTTTGTTCTGTCGTTTGGACAGTCGAAGGTTGTGTGTGGACTCTTGTGAGAGATACTCAGCCTGTAGTGGACCATCTTAGATTCTTTGTTGTGCAACCATTCAGAATTTGTAAAGTTTGTTTGTAATTTGCATTGGTTATGAAGTGTTTTCTAAAATGTTTGCTTGTGTATCCCGAGTGAGGCGTTTTTTCTAGCCCATTTTTTCTTTTGCAGGTCCTAAGGGACCATGGGAGGTTTCGGGGAGCCTGACCTTTGCGGACGGACATGCAAGGGTGTCACACAACTTAGGCAAAACAAGCTAAGTCCGTGACAGATGGTATCACAGCGGGATAAGCACTCGTAGAACTTGGCATGTAAACGTAAGGGACCTAGGGGGGCTGCGTTGAGGGCAACCAGCATACACGACCGTTTAGGAGAAAACGAGCATGGAGATATAGGGAAAAGGAATCGCTCAGAGGTGCGGGCATATGAAATTGGCATTCAGAGGAATGGCCAACCCTTCGCGCAAGAGGTACCACGAGGACAAGCAAGCTTGGAAGAATGCGTAGCGCACAAAAGTTAGGATGGCTGAGTTCGAGCTACGGCTCGACGTTGACAACCATATATAATGGTGCTAAATGCAAACGAGGCGCTTGATAAATGATAAGATCATGCAAGGTGGAATAGGTTGCTCAGTGTAAAGCTCACAGAGGTGAGGGGAATTACTAACTCAAAGAATTCGATACTCATGCAAGGGCTTGTATGCGGACGATAGAATATTCGTGGTCATCCCAAGGCAGTCGAAACTCGATGCCATGAAGCATTGAAACTTTCTCTTTGGCATGAGAAGGATACGTCCGTAGGGGGCTGAAGTGTGCAGCGAGTTCAGCATGTTGCTAAGCCTTGAGTGGTGCAGCGGAGGCTGTATTAGCGTGGAGTCGCAATCTAGCAAGTGCGTTTGCAGGAGGCAGAACAATACACAATTTGTTCAGCAAGTCAGAGTAGTCTAAGGGGATGATGGTCTCCGAAACTTTCAAAGGGCAGGAAACGAAGAAAGATATTGCTCCAACGAGACAGATATACAGGAGGGATAAGTCTCGGTTCTCCAGAGGGAGAATCGTGTGTAACGGGCCACACATGTTGAGGAGTACCTCCAAAGCAACAACTCCACGAAGCTCAACGGACCGAGCGAGCGGCGAGGAGTCGTTGCATGATCTCGCTTAAGAGAATGCATTGGTGGATGCATTGCGAGATCAAGTGAGGGAGCGACCCAAAGCAA